GATGCTAAATCAACCTTCAAAAACCATAAAAATCCTTGCAGCTACTCCAACAACTCATGAATACACGGAAGCGGATACTTATTCTTGATGTCACCTTGTTCAAACCTCTGTAGTCTACACAAAGTCTGAGAATATCATCTTCCTTGTCGCAACAACATTGGTGGTCTCCATGGCGAAAAATCCGGTCTAATAAAATCTTTGTCTGCTAAATCTTTTACTGTCTCATCAGTTTGGTCATCTCTGCTCGCACTAATCGGTATGGAACTCATGAATCTGGTGTTACCTCTAGTTCCAACTCAGTCATATAAACGTGTCTTCTATCCGATGGTGACCCTTCTATAGGTCTCAAATACATTCTCATATGCTGTAACAACTAGCAGCTCATGCATCTCATGTTGTCCATTATCCTTAATCATCAAACGGTCTTCAAAAATTGATTTGCTCTTGTATCCAATAACTCCTCAACACGTTGTGTGGCAGCAATAAAACTCTCATATCTTCCAGGAATATCACGTATTGCCTTTAGCAACTCAATACTTCTTGATATCATGACAATCATTTTATCTCAAAATTAGCGCCGTAAAATTTAGATGCATTTCTGACGGAACTCTGAATGTCTCTAGCCCTCCAAGCATACCTGGTAACACTCGATGAACATAAATAGCTCTCTACATCTTATGCCAGCTTTCCGAGCTGACACAACTCTAAAAAGGTCAACACAACCAAAAACCGACGAACACGCCAAATGTAACTCCAATATAACCATAACGTAAGATGCTGCACCCTAATTCCAAAAGCGATCTCCACGAGTTTACCAACAGAGCATAACTCCAAAATAGTCACCATACTCATACACAAAACATCACACGCCAATCCATGGCTCAAAACTCTCATCACAAAAACTCATACATCAGAAACTCATGGGACGACGGCTTGAAATTGGGTGATGGCAAAAACGTCACATATCCATTCCAGTACAACATAGGAGAAAGAATGAAGAAACCAATAAACCTCGGCGAACTCTGACAAAACTGCGGCATCACACCTCTACTGAACATCTGGTAGATCTCTGGTAGCCGAAAGACGAATGACGATGATTTTACTCATCGTCATAAAAAGAGACAATTGAAGTTAGTGGTTACTGGACAGAATGGTGCTAAAAGAATTTTCAAAATACTTTTTTTTTTATATATTATAGAAATATATATATAAATAATTTATTTTATTTATTATTATTTTTTTGAAAACATTGAAAACCGAATCCCCTGACCGCCATCCCGGGACAGAACCGGGATGGAACACGCTCTGATACCAAAAATGTAACACCCGTCACCTCCTACGTGGAGTACAGCGTGTCATCCCCGACGCGTCATCAAATAACAATGTGACACCCGTCTCCCTCTCTCTAGGGACAACGAGCCACCAATAATATCTCACAACATAAAAAACCCCAAAGCCCAACTACACTCGCCCAAGCCCAAATAAAAATCCGAAATAGAAAGTCCAATAGCACCAAG